TCCCTCCACACCCCCCTTTCCCCGTCTGCCCCTTCCCCAACCCCCCCCCCCCCCCCTTTTTTTTTTTCCCCTTTTTTTCTTCTTCCCCCTCTCCCCCCCTTTTTTTTCCCCATGCTTATTCTTAAATTCTTAACCCCCAAAACCCCCTTGCTTTCCTACTCGGGTTTTTTGTTTTTCTTTTCCCCCCCTTTTTCTATTTTGGAAAACCCTTTCTCCCCCGCATAGGACCCCCTACCCCCCTATCTGCAATCCACCTGCACATATTTTTAAAACTTTTACATATCCCCCTTTTCCTGAACCCTTTACCCACGTGCTGGAAAACCTTAAAGGGGGGTTTCCCCCAGTTTCCCCAAAAGTAAAAGGGGCCATATCCTTTCAACCCCCTTGCCCCCCCCCCCCCCCCCCCCCCACCCTTATGTAAAACTTTCCAATGCAAAACCTTGACTCACGGGCCCCCCTGCTCTTTGCTGTTTGTTTTCTTTAAAAACGGGGTTTTAATATATCTTTAAAATTTCCAGTGATTTTGGATTCCAAAAGCGGGAACCCGGGCTTGAGACCAGATATGCCTTTAAAATTTTCCCTGCGTTTGCATGCCCCTCTTTTTTTCCCCTTTTTCTTTTCCCCGGGTTTGACTTAGGGTTTAAACCCTTTGGGCCTATTTTATTGCTATGTTATATTTTTGTTTGCGGGTATGTGTTTTTACCTCCAAAGGGTTTTTTCCGACGATACTTGTTTTTAACCTGTACCTATTTTAGGCTCTGAGTTTATTAAAAAAACTTTTTTGGAAAAAAAAAAAAAGCGCAAAAACTGTTTCAAATCCAAACCAAAAGAAAGCATGTTTTTGTAAAAAAAAGGGACAAAAAATTTTTTTAAATGTACCTTATTCCCAATGACCAAGGGCAAATTGCCCATAAAACAATTGCAGCGCTGTATAGCAAAAAGGGGCGTAAATTCCATTATTTTATACCATGGGTTTGTAGACCTATAACTTTCACACAAAGAAATTTAAATAAACACTTTTTGGGAAATTTTTTTTACAAAAAAAAGGAGAAAAATTACATTTTAAACCAAAATTTTTTATAATTAAATTTTTGATTTTAAAAATTTAATATTTTTTTATAGCCGAAAAGGTAAAAAATATTTTTTTTTTCCCCAAAAAAATTTTTTGGGTCTTTTTTGTTTTAGGGGCAAAAAATAAAAAGCGCACAGGTGTTTAAAATACCACCAAAAGGGAAAGCTCTATTTATGTGAAAAAAAGGACGTAAATTTCTTTTGGTACAGCATTGCATGACGGGGCGCAATTATCATTTGAATTAGGTGCAAGCGCCGAGAAGCAAAAAGAGGGCGTTGGGTCATTAAGTTGGGGGGATAAATCCCTCAGGAGGGCAAGTGGTTAATTATTACACTTCAGCTCTGCATCATCAGAAATAACTATTCTTTATCCCTATCACAGATAATTCCTGCAAGCAAATACCGATCAGTAATAGTTGCCCATAGGGGCTGGATAGCCAATTATGAATGCTAATTCATATCTTTTACTGCATTGCTAACTAGATGTCCTACACTTGTAATGTGTTTCAGAAAATATTCGCTCAGCTACGCCATGTGATCTCTGCTAAGCAATCTTAATTGATTAATTGGTAATTCCCCCACCCAACTCAGTATAAATGTAGGAGGCCATCCTTAAAGGTAGCACAGTCCATGGGGTACCCAGAGGGTATTGGCAACTATCTATCTTTGGAAATAAAGGGTATATTATAATCGTGGTTAAGTATTATACTTTCGGCTCGTGCACTTCTAGTGAATGTACAAACAGAATAAACACAGACAGACAACTTCAAATTCAAATCAGACTACAGAGGTGACCTTTTCCCCCATCCAGCTCTTTCAGCTCTCTATCCAGTCAGCTTCCATCTCTACTTTGTAACATGCATTCCCTACTCCTCCTTCTTACAGTGTGTCCTCTCTCTTCAAACTCACCTTCACCACTCTTCGCCAACCCACAACGTATATATATCACCCTCACTCCTTTCTTCACCTTATTACTGTATCATCAATACTGCTGCTTAATTCTGAACCCACACCCACAACTCCACCTAATAAAACCACCAGGGGACACTGGAACCCTGTCCCTCCGTTTATAAGTCATACTCCCATATGAAAGATAAAAAATGGGAATATCCTCCTGCGCTTAATATGGATGCGTCCCTATCCTAACAGCTGCTAATCACTTATATACATCATTAAACAATACCATCTGAACCTATAATAATAAATACCATACAGTGATAAAAAATATAATATGTCTATTGGTGAGATAACTTAACCCCTTGCCTACCAGGCACTTATACCCCCTTATTTACCAGGCCAATTTTCAGCTTTCAGCGCTGCCGCACTTTGATTGACAATTGCGCGGTCATGCAACATTGTACCCATATGACATTTTGATAATTTTTTTCTCACAAATAGAGCTTTCTTTTGGTGGTATTTAATCACCACTGGGCGCTTTACTTTTTGCGCTATAAATAAAAAATTGCCAAAAATTTGAAAAAAAAAAAAAAAGTTTATTTGTTTCTATTATAAAATTTTTCAAACAGGTATTTTTTCTCCTTCACTGATGTGCGTTGATGAGGCAGCACTGATGGGCACTGATAGGCGGCACTGATGGGCACTGATAGCCAGCACTAAAGGGCACTGATAGGCAGTACTAATGAGGTGGCATGGATAGGCGGCACTGATAGACAGCACTAATGAGGTGTCACGGATAGGCGGCACTAATATGCAGCACTGATAGGCGGCACTGATAGGTGACACTGATGATGGGTACTGACTGGCGGCACTGACTGGCATCACTGCTGGGCACTGACTGGCGGCACTGACTGGCACAACTGCTGGGCACTGACTGGTGGCACTGACTGGCAGCACTGCTGGGCTGCACTGGTGGGTGGCACTGGTGGGCAGCACTGGTGGGTGGGCACAGGTGGGTGGCACTGGTGGGCACAGGTGGGTGGGCACAGGTGGGTGGCACTGCTGGGCACAGGTAGGTGGCACTTCTGGGCACAGGTAGGTGACACTGCAGAGTGGCACAGGTGGATGCACTGCTGGGCACAGGTAGGTGCACTGCTGGGCACAGGTGGGTGCACTGCTGGGCACAGGTGGGCGGAGCTAGTGGGCGCACTGCTGGGCACAGGTGGGCGAAACTTGCGGGTGGCACTGCTGGGCACCGATCATCAGGGCACTGATCATCAGGCACTGATCATCGGTGCCGATCCCCGCTCTGACAACTGCCGGTTCTCGAAAGTACTTTCCTCACGATCTGACAGCGTGAGGAAAGTGCAGCCGAGAACCGGCACTTGCATTTCCCTCTGATCAGCGTGTCATTGGACACCGCTGATCAGGTGGTAAAAAGGCCGCTGTGATTGGCCTTTTACCACATCACGTGATCAGCTGTGTCCGTAGGACACAGCGATCACGGAGATCGCCGGGTGCGCGCCCCCCTGGGGCGTGCAGGAGAGCGCGTTCTGGGGGGACGTCATATGATGTCCACTCAGAACTGGCCGGCCGCAGTGCAGCCGTCATTCGGCTATCTGCAGTCGGCAACTAGTTAAATAAATAAATATCTCATACATAAACTGACCATAAATACCTCATAATATATAAATACGTGATAAAACAAAGATAACAATTGATATTTCCCTTAATTAATCCTCAAATAAATCAGTGCAATGGAATCGATATACATAATCATACTAATTCATAAATAATAAAAAATGAAAGTGTAACTATCCGTGATGAATTGTGACAAACCTATGAATTGAAATAAATAAACTGTGATTCTTCATCAAATAAATACGTGATTCATAAATTCTGTGGTAAACTATATATCAGAGTAAAAATAATATTATATATTAAATTCACTTAATTATGTGATAAATACATAAAAACACTGTGTCTAAAATAAACACAAAAGTCCATGCATATAATGTGAAAACACTCAGTGATCTTCACTTCTAGTGCTCAAAAGGAATCCTCCAATGGCAGCAATGCCTGCTCACCTCCCCACCTCGACCCACACAGGGCCACAAGGCAAAAATTCTCCTCAAAGGCAATCCTTTTACTCCAGGCAGCTCAGCAAGGGATCACAGGACTTCCACTCCACCTCCTCTCAAACGTCATATAGGACACAAACAGAACTTCCCATAGTATAATACCGTTTATTAAAACACTCAATGCAACATACTGTTTCCACTCACATGTATTCCTTGTTACAAAGCGCTTTTCACCTCATTCCATGGGTGTATTCACATACAGGGAGGGAAACCAATATGGCCGCTACGTCCGGACATGCGTCCCCACGTGACTGGAAGTGACGTATCTCTGAACTGGGAATGGCGTTCCGACGCGTTGCGTCACGTGCGTCGTGACTTCATCAGGGTAACCGCCCCCCAGAGCCATAATGTGTTTATATAGGGAATAGTCAACACACTATTCCCAATTAGAGGGAGGGTTCCCAGCGGCCATTTTCCCGGAGCCCGCACAGCTAACCTCATACAAGGGAGATATTCCTATAATAGCTTCTCAATCTAAGACTTATATTAAGAACCACTACTTCCATTTCATATTTATTCATAATCTTATGGAATACTCCTCTTAAAAATACAGATAAAATACATTGAACTATTTATTAATATTATATTAAAAACCCGCATATTACCCCACTTTATTAATTATAAACCCATCTCATTATTGTTATTAAAGGGACAGAGGAAATGATTATAAATTAGACCCAACATTAATGTATATATACAGATACTCAGATCTGATTTAAATAAACCCCATCCTATAGTAGAAAAATATATATATATAAATATACATATAATATAATACATATATACCCATATCTTTAAAAAAATTGATATTTAACCTCCTTGGCGGTGTTCCCGAGTGTAGCTCGGGGTAGAATTTCTATACCAAGAACGGTAACCCCGAGCTACACTCAGGCTTACCATGCAGCGTTCTCTGGGGGTCCCTGCAGCACTTACCTTGTCCTTCGCTCCCACGATGGGTCCCCTGCAGCGTCCCCGTCCATCTCCTCCGGCGGATGCCGGCATCTGGCTTCCGTGTTCCGGTCCCCGTGACGTCGGAGCGTTCGGGCGGCGGGAACCGGCGGGAAATTTGAAATTTTTAAAAAAATGACATTTTTGCTGTCATTGCTTTTTCACTGCATTTCACATACATTTTGTCCCACTGCTTTGTCCTGTGCCCTGCCTGCATTTTGACTGTTCTTTCTGCCTGGAAACTTAGAAAAGTCCATGGCGGCCAAAAAGCGTCCCTTTACGTCAAAAGCGGTTTTAGAACAGCGATAGTAAATCAGAACCACTTGCAGAATTGAGTGATAATGATTCGTGGGGAAATTCGTCATCAGACACTGAAAACGATTTTGCGACTTGCTCAGTGATGTGCGAATTTGCCTCTGTATTTCAAATTTCAGTGTTTTTGGTTTGATTATAATATTGAATTAAATTTATTATTATTATATTATTATTTTTTATGATTATTTATTAAATTATAATTTATGATTTCGTGTTTCAAGTTTTATCATATCCAGAATGTTTAATAGACTCTTGTTCGGACAGATTTTCAGGGAGTTATTCCTAAAAATTACAGCCTACAATTAAAAACTACATATTTCCATGCAAAAAAAATGGTACCGCTTTCAGCACAAAATTCCTGACATTTCATACCGCCAGGGAGGTTAATAGAAATAAAAGTTTTAAAAAATATATTACACCTGACCTTATATAGCTATTCTATATTCTCACTAAAAAATCTAAAAAAATTTTAATAAATCCAATATTATATCTATATAGATCCATTTTTAATATAATTGCACAACACCTTACCATGTCAAGACATACAGTTTGCAAGAAAAAAAGTATGTGAAACCCCTTGGGATTACGTGGAGTTTTGCATGAATTGGGCATCAAATGTGCTCTGAACATCATCTAAGTCACAACAATAGAAGAACACAGTCTGCTGAACATAATACTACACAAACATTAGAGGTTGCCATGGTTTAATTGCACATAACATGTAAACATTCACAGTGCAGGGAGGAAAAAGTATGTGAGGCCCTAGCTTAATGACTTCTCCCAGAGCTAATTGGAGCCAGGAGTGAGCCAACCTTGACTCCAATCAGTGTGATGATATTGGATGTGTTGCTGACAGCTGTCCTGCTCTTAAAAAACACACACCTGTTTTGTGTTTACTGGTTTCAAGAAGCACTGTCTGATGTGAACCATGCCTCACAGAAAAGAGCTCTCAGAAGACCTACGATCAAGAATTGTTGACTTGCATGAAGCTGGAAAGGGATACAAAAGTATCTCCAAAAGCCTTGATGTTCATGTGTCCACGGTAAGACAGACTGTCTACAAATGGAGAAAGTTTAGCACTGTTACTACTCTCCCTAGGCGTGGTCGTCCTGTAAAAATGACTGCAAGAGCACAGCGCAGAATGCTGCATGAGGTAAAGAAGAATCCCAGAGTGTCAGCTAAAGACCTACAGAAATCTCTGGCACATGCTAACATTTTTGTTGACACATCTACAATTAAAGGAAAACATTAAACAAGAATGGAGTACATCTGAGGACACCACGGAGGAAGCCATTGCTGTCCAAAAAGAATATTGCAGCACGTTTGAAGTTTGCAAAAGAGCACCTGGATGTTCCACAGCACTAACTGGCAAAATATACTGTGGACAGATGAAACCAAGATTGAGTTGTTTGGGAAGAACACACAAAACACTATATGTGGAGAAAAAAAGGCACAGCACACCAAACATCAAAACCTCAATCCCCACTGTGAAAACATGGCGGAGGGAGCATCATGGTTTGGGGCTGCTTTGCTGCCTCAGGGCCTGGAACGGATTGTTGTCATTGATGGGAAAATGAATTCCAGAGTTTATCAAGACATTTTGCAGGAAAAACGTACGACCATCTGTCCGCCAACTGAAGCTCCGCAGAGGATGGTGATGCAACAGGACAATGACCCAAAGCATACAAGTAATTCAACAAAATACAATGGCTGCAACAGCACAGAATACGCCTTTCTGGAGTGGCCCCCAGTCAGAGTCCTGACCTCAAACCCGATTGAAATGCTGTGGCATGACCTTAAGAGAGCGATTCACACCAGACATCCCAAGAATATTGCTACACTGAAACAGTTTTTTTGAAGAGGAGTGGTCCAAAATTACTCCAGATCGTTGTGCAGGTCTGATCTGCAACTACAGGAAACGTTTGGTTGAGGTTATTGCTGCCAAAGGAGGGTCAACCCAGTTATTAAGTCAAAAGGTTCACATACTTTTTCCTCCCTGCATTGTGAATGTTTACATGTTAAATATGCAATTACATCATGGCAACATCTAAATGTTTGTTGTAGTATTATGTTCAGCAGACTGTGTTCTTCTATTGTTGTGACTTAGATGACCAGTTCAGAGCACATTTTATGCCCGCAATTTTAATATTCAAAACTCCACGTAATCCCAAGGGGTTTCACATTAGCTTTTGATTGCAATAAGAAAATACCTTATAAGGAGAAATATAAAATTCCCATATAATTTCAAAATTTGTGATAATCATGTGAATAAACAAAATAAATAGACATATTATAAATCACTGTATGGTATTTAAAAAAATTATAGGTTCAGATGGTATTTATGATGTATATATAGGGTTTATTTTTTTTTTGGTATTTTTTTTAGCGCTTCACTATTTAGAATGTCATACTCCCATATTACTTCCCTCACCCTTTCTGCTTCTCCTAACATCTGGAGACATTTCCCCAAATCCCCAGGCCGCCACTTTTTTCCTTTGATCAACACACCCGGCACCCCCTATCCTCCAACAGCAGCCACAATCCGCACAATCTGGTTACTATTCTGCCACACCCCTCTCTGCCAATCCCTCCACTGGCTTCCAGGTTGTCCAACGGATAAAATTCAAAACACTAACACTGCCATATAAAGCTCTACATCTGAATAACTCTTCATAACCTCGGACAACGGCCAGATGACAGATTCTGAGTACCGGCCCCCCGTTGCCAGTACCATGTGACCTGCTGAGACCAATCACAGCAGGTCACATGGACAGTTGTAATACAATGGAACGGCTTCATTCATGCCATCCATTGTATACTAGTGTCTAACTGTGAATGGTCACAGCGATTACATGCACATGTCATGTGATTAGCCGGGCCAAAAATCACAGCTAAACACACAAAAAAAAAAATCACCACTGAATGAAATCGATGTCATTCAGGTAATGCTTGCTTATAGCAAAAGTAATTCTTTGCTAGAAGCAA